GAAATATGTATTATGAAGGATCGGTCTACATACGTTTTCCAAGAATTTATTGCTGCTTGATGCCATCTTTATAAAGATATCAATCTGTTTCTAAAATATAGTTGATTCTTGAGAATAGACCCAATCATGCATGACTGTAGACCAAGATTTTCAGATGGGAAGATTTGAATATTTGTAGGTGTAAGGAATAGTTGCTGTGATTATTGGGATGTTAATCGCTGAAAGTCAGAGCAATTTGGAGAAAAGAAGGATGTCTTTTAAGGGGTATCATATGTTGATGTGGAAGTTGATATGAAGGTGAATGGTAAACTTGAATGGCATCGCAAGATGTCGGGGGTAGACTTTATCAAGGGGGAAAATGGAAAGGACTGCCTAGATAGGTACCTAGTAGACAAGCTTCCGTCAAAGTCACAATAGTGAATTTAGAAAATAGGGTATGTAAAATGGTGTTTCTGCCGTCTGAGTTCTGTCAAAGATGGAGAAGACGTGTCAGGGTTACTTGTGATAACCAGAGTATGTGGCCATTGCCTCAGTACTCGAGAATTACAGGAATCGGGAGGCATTTATAAATGATATGATTATTACTGTGGTCTATTTTAAAATTTATACTCGTGCAAAAAGTGAACGTTTTTCCGGACAATACTCAGATCAAAACTCCATCAACCCTGGACATGGCCCGGGACTGATTTCCTTTGAAATTTTATTCCATAAAGGTAACGTGTTTCTCAGATTCATCCCTTGCTGGCCTCAGCCCGTTGGCCCTGAAATCCGGATCTTCGTATCCGATCGATACCGCTACCAAAATCTCTAGATCATCAGTAATCCCGCATTCCCTCCTCACCAACTCTGGATATCCTGTCTGACAAATCTGCACACAAGAGCCCACTCCTCTCTCCGTAAGCGCCAACAACCAACTCTGTAACCACATTCCAACACTGACTCTATCTGCATTCGTCAGGGTTTTATCGATGCATACTATCGCCCCTACGGGTGCACCAAAGAACCGATAATTGCGGAGGACGGCTGCATTGCGAGCTTTAGAGTCGGATCGTGGAATTCCCATCCCTTCGCCATAGAGTTGACGGCCAACCTCAGAGCGGTAGTGGGTATATCCAACAGGGAGGGGTGGGATATTGGGAGTGGATTTTGATGCAGCAGTGAATAACTTGGTTCTGAGATTCTCCAACGATTCGCCCGTGAGAAGGAAAACGAGATGGGGTTGGATATTGGAATTTGAGGGGGCGAAGCGAGCGAGGTCGAGAGTGGATTGTAAGATGGAATTTGGGACTGGAGTTGGAAGAAAGGCACGGCTTGAGTGCCGTGCGATGAGGGATTCTCTCAACGTCATCTCAGAGTAGGGTGGCTCTCCATCGATTCTTGTTTCAATTGCGTGAGGCATAATGATATTCGATTGGCTCTGATTGACTGGCTAAGTAGTCCTTGAGCCGAAGTGAACTGTTCTTGACTTCTGGACAGTATGAGTATTGTGCTTTTAATGTTCTTATGGAAGATTATGGTGATCTCTACATTCACACATCTGAGTGACCCGCTACCCTTTTATATGTTTCTCTCCCTGTGCTTTCCACGGAATTGTCAAAAGCTTCAAATAACCCGACTGCCATCCTATGGCAATGTAATGTTCAATACACCGCGAGTGATTAGACATCATGCATATTATGTAGTACATGTCCGTGAAGATTGACCAATGGAACAGCCGTGACTCACAAATACACACTTGGGTGGCTGCCATCCATCGGCTTCTAAATTTTCTCCTTTGCCGCCGACTTGAAGCACCTGTTCATGATTTTAACTGACATCGGTGCTTAGCGGTCGATTATATTCCGACTTAAAGTATGGCTATTGAACACAGAAGAAAATATATCGGTCCCTTACTCTGGTCCTTTGCATGGTACGCTTTGTATTTCATCCAGAGGCTCTCCAAAATATGCTCGAGAACATCTCCCTCGGGTATTGACGGGAAAGAATGAGATCATGACTTGAAGAGGATTTGACCGGTGGAATGAAAATATGGCCTGAAATTGCATTGGAACTCTCCATGCGGGTGTTTGAATGGATAGGTTGATTGCTAACAGAGCATATTTGCGAATCAATGAAGGTGTTGAAGAAATGCTGTACAACGGCGAAAACTTCTGGAATATTTCAAAGCATCACATAACCATGATCAATCAGACTTCTGACATTTGAGAAATTCATTGAGTGAATTGAAGGTATTGATAAAGACTTGGTAACATGTTGAGAGTAGGTCGTTTCAAGTGAAACGTTGTCAAAACAAACAGCAGGTCAGGTGTGAGATGGGAGCCTTAGAAGGCGTTGGTGAATGGATTACCTTCTGAAGGTAAGGCAAGACGTACTAATTACCTTAATACCTAGTAATCCTTCAATTCCACCTTGCAATTGTTAACAACAAGACCACTCTTTTATTTTCATTTAGAGGTATCAACCTACAATCCATTTCAATATTGAACACCCATTCTATTCGATTCAATATTGGTTTAAACATGGATTTCCTTCAGGTATAACTCTCCCAATTGTATCTCAGTTGAAAGTATCTTGATAATAAATACTAACCATCTCATTCCAGCGCCTTGCGCGTTCTCTCGATAGGCCACTATTCCCATGGAAGAAGCTCATCGTTGGGTTCTCTCTCGCACAATACCTATTCGAAGGTTTCCTCTCTCTCCGTCAGTATCAAGTCTTAAAGCAAACACGTCCACCCAAGGTTCTCTCCAATGAAGTCTCGCAAGAAGTTTTCGACAAAAGCCAGGTATGTTATTGTCAGCCTTACCATCTCCCCACTGCCACTCGCTGACTTCCCAAAAGGCATATGGACGCGCAAAAGCACAATTCGGTTTCGTTGCAGGACTCTATGGACAAATTCAAAACACGGCATTCATCTATTTCGACATTCTTCCCAAACTTTGGGACTTCACTGGATCGTGGCTTCTACAACTTGCACCCGCTCGATTCACCGGCGAGATTTCTCACTCAATCGTTTTCGTCCTTACTTTTATTGTAATTCAACAGTTTATTTCTCTCCCAACTTCAATCTACCAGACATTTGTGTTGGAGGAGAAGTTTGGTTTCAATAAGCAGACGCCTAAACTCTTCGTTACGGACATGTTAAAGGGACAGATGTTGGCATTTACATTGACTCCACCGATTCTCGCTGGTTTTCTCACGATCATACAAAAAACCGGCCATCAATTCTTCTACTACTTGTGGTTGTTTGGTGCTGGACTCCAGGTCTTCATGATTACAGTCTACCCGATCACGATCTTGCCCTTGTTCAACAAGCTCTCGCCTCTCGAACCCGGAGAATTGAAAGATGGCGTCGAGGCTTTGGCCAAACGCTTGAACTTCCCTCTTCACGAATTGCATGTTATCGACGGTAGCAAGCGCAGTGCTCATAGTAATGCCTATTTCTTCGGTCTACCATGGAAGAAGCATATCGTCATTTATGATACTCTGATCGAGAAGAGCGATACACAAGAGATTGTAGCTGTTCTTGCTCATGAACTTGGTCACTGGAGCCGGGGACATACTACAAAGCTCTTTGGAATCTCTCAGGTAAGCAGGTTTCTGTTGGTTATTACGGGATTGTCATTAATTATTTACAGGCCCACTTTTTCTACATCTTCTCCCTGTTCTCCGTCTTCATCAACAACCACTCCTTGTACCAATCATTTGGTTTCCATAACGAGTTCCCAATTATAATAGGGTTCATCCTGTTCTCCGATGCACTTGCCCCTATGGACACAGTCATCAAGCTGTTGATGAATATCCTCAGCAGAAAGTACGAGTTTGAAGCAGATGACTTCGCACAAGGACTTGGATACCAGGCTGAGCTAGCTCGTTCGTTGATAAAATTGCAGATCCAGAACTTGAGTACTATGGATGCGGACTGGATGTATGCAAGCTATCATTTCTCCCATCCAATATTGTCGGAGAGATTAGGTGCTTTGGGATGGAAGTCGAGCGGTCCAGTTGCACCAGCGGCTGCAAAGGATGAGAAGACCGCACAAGCTAGTGGCAGAGAATTGTAGATGTAAAGCATTCCAAATTACGAGGAAACCTCTGAATAGATGTACGGTATAGACTGAATAAGAAGATTTCCGTTAACCTCGCTAAAACGCATCAAAAATTCGTGACTTGTAGTTCGTCGTGCTCATTATGCTGCGGATTGTTTCTTCGCTTCCTTCGCCTTCAGCTCTGCCTTGCGTCTTGCCTTCTTTTCGGCCTTTCGTTCTGCTTTTTCCTTCCTAATCCATGCTTTGGGTGGATTCGAACTTGGAGCTACCTTTGCACTTGGCTCAATCTCAAGATCACTATCAACCTCCGCGTTGTTCACCTTTTGGGCCCTAGCTCCAACATCCCCCTCCTCGATACTCTGCTCCCTCTCAAATTCTTCCTTATCCTGCCACCCATCTACATCCATCTTGTCGCCCCCGCTTGCATCTTCCAAACCCTGCGCAATCTCGACTGGATTTTCCTCCTCCATTTCTAATGTTGGCGCAAGCCATTCTCCGCGCAGACCAGCTTCAACACGTTGAAGATTGTGGATCGTAACGCTGGAGTGACTGCTCCCGATAGTAGGACCCGTAGGCTCGAGTTTGGCGTTTGGGAGAAGATATGGTGTGCTGGATGTGAGAGAGAGATAATCTTGAAGGTATTTGAGAGCAATTGTTTGGTTGACAGGGATCGAAGGAATTGATCTGTGGGGTGGAAAGGCCGATGCAGACATGTTGATTGAGTCTTAAATATGACTAGATTTGGTCGGAGTTGTAAAGATTAAATAAATGTACGACAAATGCCAGAGAAATCGATTTTCGAAGTATGCAAACAAGAAGTTTCATGAAGCCCCGAGATTTTTTGCGACTGAGGCGGAAAAATGTCCGCTAGCGTAGTTTTTTCATTTTGATAGTGCATGGGGATAACCTCGAATTCTGGTCCGGGTTAAGATATTCACAAATTGTAGCAAAATGTTGTGTCTACGCTGCTCTCATGGTCTTAGGGCTACTCCAACTATAACAAGGGCGCTTTCACAATCCAATGCTATCGTTGCGAAAAGGTAGATATTTGTCAATTCACACAGCCGTGTCTTACACTAACAACTTTACAGAACATTTACTTCAATCACGCCCCTCCGACCCACGTTATCCCCCTTCGCATTCAAACCCTCAACGCCTGTAGTTATTCCTTCAGAAGCAGCACCTCTAGATCTCCTTCCTAAGATCTCAACACATCCCGCTTTGAGCACAACACAATTACGTTGTGGACCAAGAAATACGTTCAGTCCGAGTCACTTTGTTAGGAAGAGGAGACATGGATTTTTGAGTAGAATTAGGACGAGGAAGGGGAGGGCGACTCTGCAGAGGAGGAAATCGAAGAGACGAAGTACTTTGAGTCATTAGAAGAAGGGTATTGGTGGTTGGAATACCAAGAAATATAGCCAACAATGAGAAAGCGGGGCAATATGAAGGCGGCTGTTTGGGAAGCTAAGGATGATGAGGGCAATGATGCTTCACATGATTGTACCGCGGCACAATGATGAAGCTAATGCTACCACAGTGGCTGCGCCTTTGGATTCCAACCTACATGAAGTGTAAGATATTGAAGATATACATGTTAAAATCAGACTACGTACAATTTGGGTGTGGGGACCCGATCGCTTAACATATGAAATGTTCCTTCGTAAAGCAATGTATGGGACGTTCGAATCGAAAAGCGGTAATTCGAAGAGTGCGGCGAACTTCCACAAGCATGAAACCTTATAAAAATCGAATCTTTTGCGCAACTTACATGCAGATGGCATGACTTGCATATTTCAAGATGCTGTTTTTGGGTTTGCAAGTGTACCCTACATTCAACAAAGCCCTTCAAATTGACTATCTGGCTTACATTCAAACATGTTTCTGGAGTCGAGCTTCACCAGCTTATTCGCGAGTGCCGAAGTTGGGTTAAGGCCGGGAGTTTACGAGCTCCTGCGGCTTTGCGCCTGGTCGAGTAGCCGACGGCCGATCATCGTTGTTGACCTATTCTTAGTAATTTGTTGGTGTATGAGAAGATCATGGTCGTCGGCGTGGTTGACCCACTATGGATATTATCCGCAGTTTCCTTGTCATGCCAGATGTTGGGGTAATGTCCATTCTCAGTACATTGATACTGAGTTGAGAATATCTTATGCCCGTAAATTTGAGCTTCTTGACCGATTCTTTCTGGGGTGTTGTACTGGGATATATTCGGTGAATGTTTAGAATTCCAGGTGTGAGCCTTCGACATGTTGACTGTTCGACTTGGCTGTTGACGATTTTTCATTGACCCTTCACGTCATTCACGTTTGCTTTTTTGCTACCAGCCCGAATCCATGGGGTATAACGTAATATAACTCCAACATCAATATGACCAAATTGAATCCGCTTTTCATGTGGCTTCGAGACATCCTGTTGAGGCATTTGGGTCGAGGTGACACTGGCCTCCCTCCATTATGTCAATATGGCACACGATATTCCAACAATGCGAGCGACAAGTCTGGTTCAAATAAATATAAATATGACTTGATGAGTGCCGTTGTCTCAATCTCATCAACATTACTACCATCTTTCTCATCACAATCACTTCTTTGATCTTCTTCTACCAAGCTCGCACAGAACACCCGAATACTGAAATATTCAAATAACAAATTACAAACATGAATTCCAGCAACCCTCAAAACAACAGAGGCAAAGGCAAAGCCACTGGACACAGGGACACACTGGAAAGTATTGTTGATAAGTACGGGAGTGATAGGTCTAGCGGCGAAAGAAGTGGAAAGTCTAAGGAGCAACCAGCCCCGAGCAAAGCCTCCTCTGGAGAGAGGTATTTCCGGCCTAGCAGCTCTTTACTTGAGAGTCCTCCAAGAAGTGGTGGTAAGACATATACTTGATTCCTACTTATAAGCTTACTAACACCAAACAGGTAGAAGTAGCTCCGATTCTGATAACACCAAGACAAAGAAGAGAGATGCCACTCTCCGAAAGCTCGAAGGGAAACCTTCAAGCAGTGGTAAGACATATACTTGATTCCTACTTATAAGCTTACTAACACCAAACAGGTAGAGACAGCTCCGATTCTGACAACACCAAGACAAAGAAGAGAGATGCCGCTCTCCGAAAGCTCGAAGGGAAATAATTCTATGAACCCAGACATCTCTTCCTCTTACTCCCCCCAGCAGGAAGTTGGTTGAAGATGCAGTAAGAAAGCGTGAAACTCTCTGTAAGGACAGAGGGGATATAGGGAGCGGGGTGGGAGGCGAGCAGAAGGGAATCAACTTCCTGGAGGCGCTGCACTGACGAGAAGGTTGACGGACAGGACCAAGTCAAAGCCGGAGACAGGCAGAGAGCTTGATAATCAGAGAAAAAGAACAAAAAAATGGGTTTGGAAGGAGTCGCTGGCGTTATTTGTATCATTATATAGAATAGGCATACAATAGACATTCAGGTTTTCGCTGGTTTTATATTTTCTTGTCGACCTTTAACGAGGTATCAGATGCTAGCACCAAGGCTAACAGAAGTTCAGTGCTATATGACACCCTTTCGTCCTTGCATGAAATCAATGGGCACCGTCAGATAATGTCATCCAAACATTATTGCATATTTATCTACCTAGACAACGGCAAATATCCTCATCCATCCTGCTCTAAACTTCCAATTTCATGCTCACAACTTGATGATGTCTCACATTAAAATTGTCTCTTTTTTGAATCCATGTAGTATTGAATGCGCTCAGAATCGTCTACTTCAAACACTTCCAACTCGATCACCGCTCGTTTCTTCCCACTTCCCACTTCCCAATTACCCAATCTCCCCCAAGATTTCAAACCCTTAAACTCACTCAGCGTATTCCCAACCTCTCCCTCAAAACGTCAAAAGTCCTCCTAAAAACACAACAAGTCCCCCAATCGCAACGGGAGACAAATTCTCACCCGCATTAACGAAACTTGTTCCCGTAGCGAATCCCCCAGAGTCTGTGAGTGTCGGTACCGTTCTGGTGCTTGTTGGTGCTTTACGTGTGCTGGTACTATTATGACTATTTTCATCATTAGTTTGAACTTGAAGATTGGGATGAAAAAGGAGGTGTCAAAAAGGTAAGAAGATGGTAGAAAACTTACAACGTCCCGTTGGTACGGGCGCTGGTGATTGGACGCCCGGAGGGAGCTTGTGCTTGGACTTGAAGGGACAATATAAGGAGGATGGCGAGAGTAGCGAGGGAGAGGAGTGATTGGTTGATCCGAGGCATCGTCAAGGTGATGTTTGATTTGTTTAATGAAATCAGGTATAGATTAGAATGTGAGATGGTATTACTTTGTCGAAGGAAATCGCTCGCAAATTCTGGTTCATACATTATATATGTGGAATCGACAGCTTCGGATCACCCCAGACTACCTGCCAAAACTCCGTTCTAGGAACTTTATAAACATTCATATTTTTAGAGCATCAATAAAGTGCAACGTTATCACTCAAATATGCGGCAAGATATCTTGAAGTATTTTGAGGGTGGTTTTACATTCCAACCACAAGCACTCCGCGCCAAAGCCCAGGATGAAACGTATGAATAAGCTTTAACAGAAACCACCCAATTTGGAAAAAAAAATATACCGTCATGCTGGTACACACACAACTTTACACCCATTCGCATTACTTGCTGTCAACTTCCGCTGACCCGCCCAATTTCTTGCATCTCGACTTTCTATTCTCTTGTAAAGTTGCGCAAATTTTGCTAGCATGTATGACGCCTCTACCAATGCCTTCTTCTGGCCCACACAAGCACGAGGCCCTCCTCCAAAGGGCATGTATTCCCAAGGACTAGGTTTGATAGAATACCATCTATCTGGATCGAAGGATTCAATGTTAGGACCAAACACGGACTCAATACGATGTAAACCATAGAAATTTGCCCAAAGCTTCGTGCCTTTAGGTACGTAGATCGGGGAGTTGCCATCTTTACCTCCTCCTTTTGGTAGAGTTGTATCTGTCAATGAGATACGAGCAAGGGCTGGGAAAATTGGAAAGAGGCGAAGTGCTACGAATGATTAGTTTGGCCACGCAATGGTATGCTGGTAGTAAAGAAAAGTTAGATTGTCTTACATTCGTTAATGATATTATGAAGAAAGCTCAAACCGCGTAACTTATCGTACAGATGCTGCGATTCTTCTAGATCCAATGACTGAACTTCATCCCGTAATCTATCATATACTTTTGGGTTACGTGAAAGAAGAAATAGTGTGTTGCTGAGGAGAACAGGAGTTGTGTCCTGAACAGCCATCATTCCCTGTAAAGCATTGTCGCGAATCTCAATGAGATCATCAGTTTCTTTGATTAGACCTTGAAGGAGGCTCCTTGGATTTGATCCATTGAAATGGGAGCTGGAAGCTTCATTTTCTGCACTTATCTCCGTTTCAATGAGCGAGTCAAGATATGATTGAACTTCCTTATACGCCTCGTATTTCATTGACTTTGGAATGAGGAACTGCAAGGGACCTAGCATAAATGAGAGTCCCATACCAATGAAAGATTTTTGGAAGGCTTTCAGAAAAGCAGCCACCTCGTCCGATCTTCCATCGGCACCGGGTCTGGGAGTAACCCCTAAAACAAACTTCATGGAAGTGCCAACGAACTGAAAACATAGTTAGAATCTTCCCGTTGCCACACAAGTATTCATCATTTGTACCTACGAGACTTGCTAGGGGAGTTTGTAAGTCGACTGTTGTGTGACCATCTTGTGGAATGCCTTGAAAGAAGGCCTTAGTCAACGCTATGAACGGACTTAAATTTGATATATTCGCTTTGCTGAACGTAGGTCGAAGAAGAACTCTAGCTTTTTGCCATTCCTCATTATCGGTGGTGATAAATCCACGTCCACAAAACGGTCCCATCACAGGAAGCCTGTAAGGTTGGTAACCCCAGTCAGAATTGTTGGTAGACCAAGCATTTTGAAGATTTTCCGAATCAATGGTCCTGATGTCCGAAGTACCCAAGTTGTTCAACCAGATTGTTTTACCGTATTTTATATGAAGATTTGACATAAAGGGAATGCCTTGATATTTTAAAGACTGTCTAATTTCTTGTAGCTTTAGGTCAAGTCCAAAGAACGGATCGATGTGGGGGTAAGTGACAGGATGCTCGCAGCCATGCTGATGGTTCAATGTCTTGAATTTGTTTGCTCGACTTATCACAACGACATATAACAGTATGGACAAGAATCCCGTGAGAATGAGCGAACTAGTGTCGAACATTCTGAAAACAAAGTCGTGTAAAGGGTTCAGAGAGTAACAACAGGATAATATTGAGGTAGTGAATGAAGCTTTCGCATGGTGCCTCTGGGAAAGGCAAGAAGATATAGAAAATGCAAGTGGAGAAGAAACCAACAGTTACCAACAGCAATCTAACAGATCTAAAGCATGATAGCTTGGTATGTCAGAAACAGAGTGATCCTATGGTTGATAGTTGGCTCTGGAATATGAAAAGGAGTTTTGCTTTATACGTCGCAGTCATCGATACGCCTAGCGAAGAAGAACAGTACATCTCTCGCCCAGAGTTTCGTGACACAATCAAGCTGGCCTGGTAAGCAATACAACTAGCTCTTGCCATTATTGCCATGATGTGTAGATGTGCCTCCGAGCGTTGCATTGTATGCAGTGAAATCTCGAACAGGAGGTACTAGCTAGGTAGGTACCTATTAGCCGTCCCAAGTTCCGATAATAAAATCCGATAATGCGAAATCAGAATCTCTTGCGAAAGTACCGGTGACCTTGATCATATATATGTGAAGGAAACCAAATTTTGGGATACCTACTAGGTAGGTAGATAGGTATTTGGGAGAAAGTAATAATATTGATATGTATTAATTTGATCTAATTGGCCCGAGGGCCCGTACCGAGCGTACGAGGACTCGTTCGAGACTCGGAAAAGAAACATCGCCGCTACGACTTCGAGTAGAATTACGAGTGTCAATCATTGTACCGGTAACCACTCAGTATCCCCACAAACTATAAGGATACTTCAGCGTTCAAATATTCAATTACTTCAACATCCCAAATTCGGAATTCTCGCCAAAATTTAGGAGAAAGGCATTTTTTCTCTTGAATCCATACTTCGATATCTAGCTCGAATCCTCATCAATCCCTTGTCATACAGCTTTAGGCTCCTCCTGCTGTGCTGCATCCCTTCATACATCAAGCATGTCTTCGAGGCATGTCTCGCAGCTCCGGAAATGGATGCTAGCCTCGCCGCCCATCGAATGGGGCATTGATAAGCTGAGAGAGTTACTCATTGGCGCATTGCGACAAGGTCCTATTCCTCAGCATGTGGCATTTGTGATGGATGGGAACAGGCGATTTGCGCGAAGTCACAAGATAGAAACAGTTGAGGGGCACAATCTGGGATTTGAGGCTCTAGCAAGAGTTTGTTGTCTGGCAAAAAGTGTTGATGTGCTCCCGCTAATACGATTTATAGATCTTAGAAGTCTGCTATAAGTCTGGAGTGAAAGTGGTAACCGTTTACGCCTTCAGTATAGAGAACTTCAAACGCTCGAAATACGAGGTAGATGCTCTCATGGAAATGGCGAAAGTTAAGATGGTACAATTGGCGCAACATGGAGATCTTCTGGACAGATACGGAGCGAGCGTTCGAGTTCTTGGCCAGAGGAATTTAGTCAAAGATGATGTTTTGGAAGCCATCGATAGAGCTGTGGACATGACAAAGAACAACGGAGAGTAAGTTGGGCTATGTCAACGCTGTTGAGTCTAATTTACTAACACCATTTAGTTGCGCACTCAACATTTGCTTCCCATACACATCTCGAGATGAAATCACAACCGCGATCAAGACTACTGTAGAAAACTACTCAAAACCAACACATACACAGCAGCGACCTTTTTCGCAGACTCGAATAACACAAAAGCTCAAGTCAAGAAATGTCAATTCTACCTCGAAGTCAGCCCTAAGAGCAAGCTCTCCTACTCCGTCGAACATATCCGAACCAGACGAATCTGTATCATCCTCTACAACCCTAAATCCTGAGCCGTCGCCAATAAGCAGCCCCGAAGCTGGAGTATTCCCCGATCCCGAATCAATATCCATAGACACGCTTGGAGAAAACCTATTCACTGCTGGGGACCCTCCTTTAGATCTCTTGATTCGAACGAGTGGAGTTAATAGATTAAGCGACTTCATGTTATGGCAATGCCATGAGGAAACAGAGATAGTTTTCTTGGATTGTTTATGGCCTGAATTTGATTTGTGGCAGTTTCTACCTGTCTTGGTAGAATGGCAATGGAAACAGAAGCATGTTGAAGAAAAGGCGCAAAGTAAAGGAATCAAGGCATCAAATATCAAAAATCGTTAGATATCCAAGGAATTTTGGGGCGGGCAATGGCATTATAGAAGGGATTCGGGAGTTGGGATGATAATTGATACCGATAATTTACTATGGCAGTCAGCATTTTCAATGTTGGTAATAAGATGATTGTCGAGTATATCCTTTCGAAAGTAGTGGGATATATCTAGAGGTTCTACAGATTAATGAGGACATTCAATTGTCTCTTTTCGTATTATTCACATTACAATGATATCAAAAAATAAATTCACTTGAGCTCGGCAGTTTAAGCTTGAAAGCCTGCAGGCCACCGTAATTAGCTCAATCTGGGCGGTGAATTAATTCTGCCCACACATTTACCCTAGCAAGACCGGAGTGATCACCCACCCAGATCTTCTGCTACTCTACAAAGTTAGCATACGTCTTAACAATCTCAAATGCTGAGACGACTTGCTCGAATCTAATGTCAGTTCCCAATGGGCTTCGAAAGTTAAAAATTACACTCGGAATCTCTTTGAATCCAATTTGCGCGTGTCGCACAACTTCCTCCTCGATTTCCTCATCTTGCCCATAGAAAATTACGTCGATACACACGATGAAATCCACAAAAGCACCTCCTTCGGACCCCTCTTCGAGCCGCAGAGCTCAGCCTCTACGGCAAACACGAAACAATCCACCAAGAACCTCTATCTCTGGCTCTCGACCTTTGGGATCAAGAGGTTCGATTGGCGGCGGTGATGGAGTACCAAATGCGGATCAGACCGTCGAAATATTCCCTGCAATAACCCAGTTCGCAGACGCTATATCTGCATTGCCAAAGGAACTCGTGCGACACTTTACATTGCTGAAAGAAGTTGATGCGAAAGTATTTGGGCCAGAAGAAGAGCTTGCAAGACTCGTCGACATTGCGCTCAACACCCCAC